ATGATATGATAATCAGTAAGGAAGGATGGAAGCTTAACAAAAAAATAATAATAATTACAATAATGGTTATAAATATTTTTGAAACTTTTATTATTCTGATCTTACTCTATCTCTGAATAGCAGTCTCATTTTCATATCAAGCTTAGAAATGTAAGACTAAGCAAGAAAATAAAGTAAAGTAAGCACTTCAAATAATAACTGGAAGTTCTGCATTGATTCTGCAACTTCCTGCTATAGACTTTACTGCTATTAACTTGAAATTCATACCTAAAAATGTTTCCTTTTTGTGTTCTAAAAAATGTTATCTTCTGATAGACAATTATTAAAATGTCAAGAAACAAAAGCGCCAATCATAACTATAACTTAAGACTTGTCTAATAATTTTAGCATAAATTAACAAAATTAAAAAATATCTAATATTTTATTTACATATATTTAAAAAATACCACTTGCTTTTGTTCAATTTATGATTGAAAATTGAAAAATTAAGTAATAAATAATTTTAGCATAAATTAATAAAACCAAAAAGTTTTTTAAAATCATATTAATTAAACAAAAGTTAATCGCAAAAACTACAATATACTTCAAAAAATTAGCCACTTCTATTATTAAGTAATTAATTTTAAATTTTCTATTTATTTTATTATTTTTATTATTTTATTTATTTTACCATTTTCATCATAAAGTGATTAATTTTTTGAAATTTTTCAATTACTTCAAATTAAGCTCATATCTGATCTATTATACTATTATATTATATTTTTCTAATAAAGAAGGAAAAATATTTCCAATTAGTTTCAAATAATTTTTCGTCAAGTTTGAGATTTAATATTCACAATCAAAAATTATTATCAGAAAAATTTTGGGCAATTTGACAAAGTTATTTTATATATTATTACTTTATTATTGAAAATGATTTTTGTTAGTAACTTTTGCTCAAATACTTTGAAAAAAAAATAGACTTAAGGCTAAAAAAAATCAAAAAATATACTGTAAGTTCGATCTAGTCAATTTTTTACTTAAAATACTTTAGTATTGAAAAAACTTCATACATACATTTTCTTACGTATTACAACGTATATATAACAACTGTAATATAAGTGCTAAAATGATATCCGTTACACAAATGCACTAAAATGATATGAACAAATTAATTCAACTAGATATGCACTTTGGTTTTTATGTGATCTGAAAACATTTCAAATGAATATAATACAATATAGTAGATCATATATGAGCTTAATTTGAGCTGAACTAAACGGAAGTAAGTAAAGAAGAAATAAAATGGATTTATTTAGCTGAACTTCGCACTTTTGCTTGCAAGTAATCCAAAGCAAAAATGAGTAAGTAAGTTAGAAGAAACAAAAAAACGTGCTAGATGTTAGTCATGTATTTTAGAGTAAAAATAAATAAATAAAAATTTTTGCCTATTTTTTTTATTTTTTTATTTTTTTATTTTAACTAAAAAGTATTGTTGAAAAAAAGACTAGCCATTCTTTTTGTTCAAAGTAAAAAATAAGATTGAATACAAAGTATAATTTAATAAAATCTTTGAAGCTAAACTTGTTTTTGTTTAACAAAATACATTCATCAAAGCATTACTTTTATAGAATTTGAACATATTCTCTATACAAATTTTTTTCAATTTTTACTTGATTTAAATAAATTTATTTATGCCTTTTTTTTGCGTGAAAATAACCTTACTAAAATATTTTATTACTTATTAAAAATATTTAAAATAATCGCATGCTAAAATTAAATAATTCATATTAACACTTTATTACTTATTTTTGCAATTTGAATTTACAAAAAATATTAATAAGCAAATGTGATTATTTTTTTCAACAAAAAATTTTTACTTATTAAAACCACATGTAAAATTATTGTATGACACCAAAATTCAATGCATAGTTTTAATAGACAAAATTGTATTCAAAAAACTTTTTTAATGATTTTTTCATTGCATATAAATATTTGTTTCAATTTGATTTTGGACTAATTATTAATTAGGATTACAAATTATTTATAATCTAATTAGCTGGAATTAACTATTCAAAAATTTAAGATCAATTAATTGAATCATTAAGTAATTAATTAGTAATTTTGATTGTTGACACTTAACAAAACGGGTTTTATCAAATTGGTTAAGCTTTAAGATCAAAGTTAATAATAATTCTATCTGATATAATGATTGATTAATAAAAAAATATTTTTTAATCAAAATAAAATTATTTCTTCTTAATAACTAAATAAGGTAATTCATGCAGTTAAGTAGATAAATGAGTACAACATTTAGTCTTAAAATTCAAGCAGTTCAAAATGTAACAGAAGACAAATGCTACGCAATGCTTTACATCATGAAGCAAGAACTGCATGAATTAAATAGAATATTCAATTTTAAAAGTTCACTTCCATTTTTTTTCTTGAAAATAAAAAAATTAGCATATTTCCAAGATTTTTAATCTACTCTTTTAGCTGAACAAAATATAAACTTTTTTTAGCAATTTTTGCATATTAAAAATGCAAATTTATTGCCAAATTACTGCTGATTTTAAATTGTTGTGGTAGAGTTATTCAATCAAATCTTCAATTTTTATCAAATTACCAAGCCTAAGCCTTAAGCAAGTAAGTGCCTACTCAGAATTTTGCTTATTTTTGCAACATACATTTTTACTTACATAATTTATACAAATTTTTACAACATAATTTATGCAAATTTTTTTGCTTAATTGCTTATTTTTATTTTATTCTTCATTAATATTACACCAGCAAATAATATTCAAAAATTCCTAATTTGTGTTTTATGAATTGCTTTGCACTTTGTCTGCTTTTTATACTCAATCCCATAAAAGTATTATAGATTTTATGCAAATTTTTCAAACCAAATTTTTTTAAAACAAAAAAAAAAACTCAACTTATTACTTTGTTGATTGATATCATAAATATTAGTAAGTATATGATAACAGAAAAGTTCCATAAATCTACAGAGAAATCTACAATTTCACTCATAATCGTATTTATTACTTACCATATAACGAGTATGTTACTTATATTTTTGTAAACCAGCATAAGGATCTCTCCTATACTTCTGTAAGCACGAATAAGCATTTTGTGATATGCTGACAACACTTTCACTCTTCTTAACAATACATTAACCACTGTGGACAAAGAATGTTCAAGATTATATTCCTAGTAAGCACAAGCTTACTTTCTCGTTTTTTATCCTGCTCGTACTTATTTTATACATAAGTTAGATTGTTAAGTTAGCCAAGTTATACTAATTTCGTACATACATAGCATAACATGATTAAATGAATAAAAAAAACCCTTTCTCGTCTTCAAAAACATCCATTTGCGATTCGTAAAAAAGACTTACATTCCTCTCATTTTCAACTTATTTAACAAAGAAGTAAGTCCATCTTCTTTTCATACTTTTAATAAATTGCAGTGCATAGCACTGAATTGGCATGATCAATTCTAGTTATAAGAGATTTAAAATAATCTCACACACACAATTAATAATCCATGTAACTCACATTATGCTGACATCATATTCATCTTCATATAAATTTTCTTTGCTATGCACAAATTCTTCAATCAGATGTTTTCGTCTTTTTAGCTTAATAATATATAAGTTGAATTTTCAAGTCTAACAGTAGCAATAAGTAGTCTTCTAGTCTTAAACAAAAGTAAATACTTACAGAATATTGAAGTATTAATCCACAATACCTTGGGATAAGCATGTACCACAAGAATACAATCCATAAATTAAAATGGTAAGTAAAAAATTTACAATTGCTTAACACAGTTTAGGAATCAAACAGTACGTACTTAACCTTTCAATCTATCAAATTTATTATAAGGAACATTTGTCCTTTGGCTTTAATTAATATCATTAAAAAGCTTGCTCTTTCCTTACACATTTGATAAATTAAATAAAGAAATTAATGCTTATCAAATTATATTAATATCTTTGTATATTCCACTAATTGACAAAGCTTTTCAAAGAATAATTAAAAAAGGTGAATAATTAAAAAGTGTTCGCCTACTACACAGATTATTACTGTAGCATTTAAAAATCAGATTCCCGTTTTTCACGAACTGAAGTCAATTTGGGAATTATGCTAAATAAAATGCCATAAAAAATCACAACAATAACACAACTACAGATATTAAAATAAATGACTGCAGTGGAATGAAACTGATTTAATATTACTATTTGAAGTATTATATACTACTTGCTGAAACAAAACAAAATGCAAGTCATTTTGTATTTATTCACAATACAGTTTAATCCCCTCACAATTTTTATAGATACAGATCGCCAACATGATTCCTACAAAATTTTCCTTCTGTAAACTCAAAAAAAGTTATTGAAAGGATACAAAGAAAGATTCAAGAACAGAATACATTACAATAAAATCATTACAAAATAAAGCTTTCAATACATAATATATATCAACGTACAGCTTTAATTTAAGATATAATGACAAAGATGATAAAATTTATTTCAAACCATAGACAAATTCAGTGGAAATAATTTATAGAAATCAAGCTAAATAAAAATCACTTCGCAAATATCAGTAACTTTAATAGCGATATTAATTGAGCACTGATTATACAACTTTCAATACGGAAAAATATCTTTCCTGTACTAACTACAAGTTTAAAATTAGACTTTATTACATAAATTAGCTAAATTAAATACTTCAAACGAGTAATTTAATGTTTATTATAGGTAGTCATCATTTCAGTAATGTAATAAGATATTCATTTCAAGTAAATTGTATATAATTAATGCACTCGGAATATCAAAAGTGTTTCAGTTCAGAATATGAAATCATCTTTCACTTTTTTCTGCTAGAGAACGAATATTCTAGACTAGATAGAAAGATTAAAAAAATATTCTAGACTAGAAAGATAGACTAATATTCAATAAAATACAGATTTTCTTTTATGGTTTCATTTATTATGATCTAAAATTCCGAGTGCGCCCTATCCTATGGTACCAAGCCAAAATAATTGGCAATAAAGACTCTCAAAATAGAATTCAAATTATCAATCGTTTCATAGCTTAAAATATCAGCATTATCGAATGCTGTGTGCCATACGGCTGGAAAAGGTATTGGTATAAGATGCATGACTGGTACACCGAATTGCAAAAATGGCAAATGATCATCTTCTACTTGTCTGAAAATTGTTTGAGGCTGGAATATTCGCGGTAATCGATGAAGGCAACCAGCTTTCCTAAGTGACTCTTCTGAAGCATAAAAATAAAAACTATTGTATGGGTTTCTTAATAAAAAAATAAGTGCGATAATTACCAAGAGAATTATAATAAAAAGAATATTAAATTACTATGATCGAATTTTCTACGTCATAAAGCTAGCCATATACGACTTTCTACTTCATTTGTGACCCCGTATTTACTTTACAATTTCGAAACGAATGTACAAAACTATATGATAAGCAGTTTTATGTAAATAAAAAACTGATAAACTCTTGAAATTCTTTTTACAATCATCGGTCATAATTAAGCAGCGAAGAAATTGACCTATTGATGCTATTTTGAAGAAGGCATTTGATGAAGAATAACCACTAAAATCGTAAAGATGCGGATTTGGAGCACCTAAGAGATCGAGAAGTATCAATAAATCCTGCAAAATACGAGGCATTACAGAACTATACAATTATATTGTAACAAGTTTATTTCTATCTCTGTATGTATGTCTTTTCAAATATAAAAATTCAACAAATAGAAAAGATTCTCATAAAAAATGGACAAAATTAATCATAAAAACTTTGGAATTCCAAGAAAATATCCAAAAAGGATATAATGTGCATGAAATCTGATTTGAAAAAAGTGAAAGTAAAACATAAAAAGATGCTTCATTTATACATATATAGAAAAAACAAGAAATAATTAAGAAAGTGGAGAACAGAACTGTTAACAAAATCATGCTCTCAAAAACTTTATTTGAAAAGCCTTAAAGTTTTGAAAGACCTACTATGCGGTCGATTTCAGTCGAAATTTTAAAAGACGAGAGCTGTGTAGTCGTAATGTAAGTAGTTTTCCACATGGAAGCAAGATGCCGTGCACCGTATATTGAATCTGTATTTGACCAATCTTCAAATGCTTCTTCACCATCAAAAAATATTAATTGTAAAGTTACATCCTGCAAAAATAGTACTTTATTCTATGAATTTGGAATAAGAAATTTTTAGGAACGTTCAGCACATATTTGAAAAATTATTGCAGAAAGCGAAACGAAAACTAATTCAGTATGTAATGTTTTCAGCAACATACTTTTTTTTTACGATTCCCTAAAAAACGGCCAAGAGTCGATGCTATTTCAAGAAGCATCGCACATGGCACCGCAGAATCAGTTGCACCAATAAAAACTTCACTGAAATTGTGTCATCAGCATATAGATTTTAACTCAATATTTATACAGAAGTTCTTAATTAAAGCTTACAAGAACCTAAATCTGAATCATATGTTTAATGTTCTACGTAAATAAGTTACCCTTTTAAAATTTTAGAATCATAGTGACAAGCAAGAACCAGTCGCCTATCAACATTAGGATCGTGTGTAGCAATCAATGTTTTAAATGGTTTCTTCCCATGAGGAGTGCTTTCAGTAAATTCATCCCATTGAATTGTGAAACCTGATGCAGACAATATCCTTGCTAGATGCTAAACGAAAAGAAAATAATTAAATTACAAAACAAAAAACAATAATTCAGTTCTTTGTTGCTAATAAAAAATGCAAACTTGAAAAGAGATTCAGTATTTATGCCGAAATGAAAGTGTAAAAAACTCTTTGAAAATGAAAAGCAAACTGTGAAATATGAAAAACTACAATTGCATCTGATTGAACAACAAAATAAGCTAAATTAGCAACCGAACTACTTTTATATATACTTTTCAGACTAGCTAGCCATGTGAAATAGAATAGCGTACTTTGCGAGAGAAATAAATAAAAATATTTTGCATAAACTAGAAAGCGATCTCAAGCTATTATTTTCTGAAAATAAAATAATACAAGAATTTTCAGAATCTGCATGCGCTTATTTATGCAACGATACGCATATACTTAACTTACAACAAATGCTTAGAAATAAACTTACGGAAGAAACCGCTCGATGAGATGGAGAGCCAACTACACGTGGAACAAGTATTGGTTCCAGTAAACTACGAAACCTTTGTTGATCATTCATTCGACAAAAATATTGCAAAGAACTCTTGGATAGTTCATACCACTGGATTTTTCGATTGCTACTGTCATCCATTACACGTAGCTCAGACTAAAACAAAACAAAGATATATACACATATAAATACTTTGAAAATCTTCATCTGTACACATTGTTAATACTTATACATTTATTCTTTATAAACTTGATTTCTAGAGTTTCCATTCACTTTCTATCAAAACTATACCGTATAATTATGCAACCATAACTTACAGCTAATTGACGAGGAACCAAATGTGTGCTCAAATTAAAAAACTAGAATCGCTAGAAAACAAAATCAATATATGTAATAATTTTAATATAGTGACCTGAGATTGTCGCCACTGAGCGATTACAGAATATTGATTCATGGCAATATAAGCCAAAAATATACATTTCGGAAAATTCAACGAAACGGACATCATTTTTTCTACGCTGATAAAATTTTATGACATATACAAATATTGAATAAACAAAAATGATCGGAAATTAACGAGTCATTGATCCCAACAATCGATATTATATTAGCAATGATTGCTTCCAACTGTTTGCCAAATCATCAATGCTAATTTGAACATTCTGTCATACTTCATAATAACCTCAAAATTTAAACTCCAACCAGCCTAATACACAATTACTTTATTAAGTACATACAAGCAAAAATATTTACAAGAATACAAAGTATCGTAAACTGTTAATGTTTAGTTCAAACTAACTTACACTCTACAATAAATAAATAAGTAAATAAATAAATTAATTAATTAATAATTAAATAAATAAGATTAAATAAACAGTACTAAGAAAATAATGTATTAACTTTAATTCTGACAATCAAAACAAAAATAAAAGATTGAATTTTATGCTAGCAAATAATGAAATTTGAAAGATATTAGAACTACTGTATATTTATTTTCTTTATAATGCAAATAACAACAGTACTTAATAATACTTCACAGCCAAAAATCATAAAAGATATGAATACAATAAAAATTTTCTTTACAATATAAATAATTTTATATAATACAAACAGAAATCAAATATAAACTCCCTTTTAGTCAAGTCACTTGCTAATATATGAGATATCAAAAAATATGAAGATAAATCACTTCTATATCAGATTCCAACTAAAAGATCTCACTCTTATAATAATCTCTACTATGGAAAGTATATAATATGAGTGAGAAATAGCAATATTTAAGAACCACAATTTAAAAAACAAATCAAAATTAATTACAACTTGTTAAGCTAATCATTTAATCAGAAACACAAACCTAAATAAATACTTGTGCTAATTTCGCTAAATATAATAGATACTTTCATCAGTTAATTAAAATGCAAAAAAATTATCAAATTTGCAATAAATGCTAATTATTAATAGCTAAGGTAACAATGCCATCTTTTTAATATTCATTTCAATTGCTACATATTATTGTTAGCACGAAAATTTCTACTTCATTAATATTTATATCGTTTAAAACAAGTTCAACGAGATAACACAGCTAATTATCCACCTGAATACTACATCTTCGTTGCAGACAAGAATGTTCAATTAATACGATCAACTTAAACTAGCACCAATTTAAAATAAGCTATCCTAGTATTATATTACTTCTTTCGTATTTTAAATATGCAATAACACTACTTCTATATCCAACATAGTACTGTCAATATCACAATAGATAAAAGTAGGATATACGAGCAACCGATAACCTGGAAATAATTTTGTACAACTTATTGTAAGAAGTGTGGCATCAAGCACAGAATTTATGATTTACTTCATTACACTCACATTTAAGATAAACTCTTAGCATTACAAAAACACATCTAAATAATGCTCTCGCTACGCTTTTAAAAAGAATCGAAATGAAAACATTAAAAAAGAATCATACAAATAACTGTCCAAAGGACTGACATGAAATCACTACAGCACTTTAGGCTTCTTCAAAGCAACCAAATTAATCTTATAATAAGCAAAAACTATGCAATATTTTTTGTCATCATAAACAAACATATGTGAAATTCATACAGATTACTCAATTCACTGAATTCAATTCAACGCAGAAAAAAATAAAGATGGAATATGAGCTACTTTGCTATTACGGCCTCCATTTAATGCTGGTCGATTTTGCAAAACAATCACATTACCTTCATTTTTGATCGAATTTCGCGTTTGTACACTTCAAAGTCCCCGCAAAATCTAAGAGTTATTAAAAATAATTAATCCTTTCAAAATTATTATATTTATTTCTTCAAATCTTAAAAGATTAATGTCATCAAGCACACGAATTCGATGAAAACAAAAATAAAAGACTAAAAATTTCAGAGAAAGCCACTATTTGTTATATCGTTACGTATAAAATGTATTACCACTTACAGGCAAAATTATTCCTACATTAATTACGAAGTTTAAGCAATCTGTAGAAAACGAAAACACTGAAAACAGTGATCGGAAATCAACATACTTTCACCATGAAGTAGTCATTCTGATCTGTGGATCTGCGATTTTACCAGCACCCTCACCTGTAATGGCACAACATAGAACAAAAGATTAAGACACAAACATAAGAAAATTTTTCATCACTACACTACGCAAAAATAACGGCAAACACAAAATCTGTCTAGTTCATGATGTGATTTTCTGCATACCTTCCGTATCTCCCATCTACTTCCCATCCAAAAATAACAAAATTAAACGAACCAGTCCGGAAATAGAATTCCTTTCTATCTTCATCGTCATTAATATAACTCCCTCCAAAAATCTAAATTGAGAGTAATTCATTGCCTAGAGCGAATAACTATTTTATCTCCCCATTTGCATCAAATAAAATGCAATCAGCTTCCTCTTCGTAGACCCATGTACAAAGAAATGCATTGTTATATATTGTTCATTTCGGATATCTACATCTTTTTCTGCTACTGTGAAATAATGCAAAGACACTCACTATTGCATACAACTTTGATGTTTATTCAATTAGATTCAGAATCAGATAAAGAATGAGGATGACGCTTGCAGCAAAGCAAAAATGAAACTGACAACATATGATCCAAATCGATATAAAAATACCAGTTTTAGGTTTTTAAAGTCAACAACAACATAAAAAACTAATAAGTCACATTAATATTTATTATTACTCATAACTTTTACAAGGCTCAAAATGATGGTAAATGATGTCTGTGTATTGGATAAGACCTATCTAAAATATTAGCACTTCAAAAATAGTTGCTTCACAAGAACAAATAGTTTATGAAGCCATATTAAACATTTATATTTTATAAAATAAAAAAAGGCGCTAAAAAGCACTGATATAAATAATAACCAAAACTATCCAATACATCAGATAAAGCAGTAATCATTCATGCCTGCGAAATCCAAACAGGTGACCTTGATATTTTTTTACTGGTGCAACAAATGCTTCCTTTTCAGATTCATTCTCATGAATTTTCTTTTCCTGAAATACAAATATCATTTCAAATACTAATACATTCAAAACCACTTCACTTTCAACTGAATATAAAAACAAAAATCAATACAAACAGTAACCAACATATTCGAAAAAAAAACTTACTATTTCGGCAATTCTTGTAGCTCGTTCTCTGAATTCTTTCAGAGGATCATCAAATTGACTATAGTATTGCAATGTTGGTCTAACATCATCTACATCTGATAAGTGTATTGCTGAAAATAAATTCATTCCAAAAGGTGTGTAAAAAATTACAAAGTGATTTAAAAGACAATGTATTTAATTGAAGTACTTTTGAGCAGTTCTGCTAGATCAACAAGCGCAGTATCATCTAATTCACCGTTCCACTTTGGTAATCGTAAAACGTTTTCTGGACTTAGTTGGAACGATTCTGGATCAAAATCGATATAAATGACCTTTGACAAATCTCGATTCAATTTAGAAAGATCCTAAAATGATCTTATTTTATCTACAAGTAAACAGAAAAATCTTGTTAAAATAAAAGGAAAATTTACCTTGACGTATACACCATTCATGTATTTGCAGCAATCACGGTACAATTTGTACATAATCTTCTGCTTGGTATCTAAAGCTTCAATAATTGAATTTGCGTTCAGTGCTGTTTCAGACGTATAAATCACAACTTCGAAATTTGGATATCCAATCACATCTAGTAGATAATCAACAGCAGGACGCTTTTTTACTCGATTTCCCATCTTATACTGAAAATTATCATTTTCATTCTAACAGCAGTTTTAATAAAAATATTTGACGATTTGCAAACACTAATATTCAAATCTTCAATAACTTTTTATTCCCTGAAATAATCTTTCAATAGATAAGGATAATTTCTACAACTAACACTCCATTCTGGCGCCACTAAAATGTTTTTGAACTCAATTACAACGGTATACTTTGGTTGCCAATACGGTGGTTTTATTGGATCCGGAAGAAGTTTGTCTCTGGATGGTTCTATAACGAACTGCAAATAAACTAAATATATAATGCAAAAAATATAAAAAGCCATAATAGTTCTCATGTGATTAATTTTACAGCAAGAACAGCAATCAATTATACTCCACACAATTCCAAATTCTTTTCTATAAAAAATAAATTTCAAATTTTTATGATGACTTACATTCCTCCATGACCTATAAGCCTCTTTAATCCGATAAAAGGGAGCTAGTATACCCGTATATGTGTTATTTTCATCTTTCCTCATCCATCCTAAAAGTTTACCAGACATTTGTTTCATTAATGTAAAGCAAATTAAAAGTAAATAGTTTTTCTTTTCTAAAAAAATTTTTAACATGTACTTGACAAAATAGCTAGCATGTATTTTTTTTACACTGTATTTTACTTAAATATAGAATAATACGCGGTTAAAATTTTTTCAACGATAAAGACATTTGCTGGAACTATCGTTGAAAATTAAAGAAATATTACCGTAATAAATGCAGAAATACAAAATTCCACAAAGTGTACTGCCAGCAACAATAAACATGGCTAGAACTGTGCTTCTTTTCCTTTTCTGAGCATTTTGATCTTCTTGTGGAGCAGTCCTGTCAACCTATCAAAACAAATATTTTAAAAAATTCGTAACTTAGCTGTATACTTATTTATCAAATACGTGAAGTAAACATACCGGTAAGCCACAGCTGTTCATCAGTGCTTCCCACTTACAAACTAATATGTTTGGTTTAACTTCAACTTTTGGAACATCTAAATTTCCCAAATTCTCATATTCACTCTGAAATGACGCTGACTACAGATTCAAATAATTCATGAAAAATAACAAAAAAGTGCTTTTATATCAACTACATATAATGCGTACTTCTTTCCATACATCCTTTTCCGTCTTTTTCTCATCGAGATCTTCCTTGCTATGAATCGCACTTTTTATGCCACTCAACAAACGGATATTTTTTTCTGTTTTGCAGATCTAAAAATTGAAAAAATTAAAAAAGAAATAAGTCAAATCCTTTTTTGATATTTGTCTAAAAATTATGATTGCACCAAAGCTGCAATTAACGGGGCTTTGAAAGGAAATCTATAAAATTAAAGTGAAAGCAAAGAGCATTTAAAAATGTGAATCTGTAACTACCAAACTATATATTGTTTTTAACATCACACTCTGAAAGTAGTAAAATTTAGTCAATCAATGTCAATAACGTTAATTAAACTCTAATTAAGTAAGAAGAATAAATACAGAATTATATTCAAAGTCGAAAAATAAATAATGAACCTGACGATGTTGTAATAGCGATTGGAAGATGCCATTACTCTCCGATGATAATTTATTGATAGGATCAATAAGAGTACGAGCTACATGTAATATATAACCCTGATCTTTTCTTACTTTGCTTACACTTCGAAGAGGTACTCGAATTAAAGTTGACGAGGAAACGAACATTAAATCATTAATTCCTTCATTTAAATTACAAACTACCAATTCTGAAATAGAAAAAAAAATACATAATATAAATGCGATAACTTACAGATAACGTAATTCCACGCAGCGTAAATTCGAGAACAGATATTTTAGATTACGCATTGTAATGTCACTATGCCTGCTTATTACTCAGTTATTAATACGATTTACAGTACTTGATCGTTAGAAAAAAAAAAAAAAAAAA